GGCCAGGACTGATCTATACACCCTTATCAGTGATTTAATAATGCCAGTTTGGATCTCGAAAGGGATTACTAAAAAACAATCAAGAAACACGAAGTCGGACGATATTTCGATATTATAATATTAATGAAACGGAACATACGAGCAATAGAAAAATGTATGCCTCTTTCGGGATCCAATTTTTCTGCTGAAAACAGGTCACTGAACTAAGTCGGAAATAATGTGTCTATGATGTTTATTATGACAAATTATGAAGCTTAAAACTTACAATTTTCAGAAAAATAGGTCTCTCCTTCCAAGCGCCGCAACATCCGCAAAAACCTATGGCGAAGATGGCACAACCAGTGCATATCATAATAATCGTAACGGCTTGTATGTTTTCACTGCCTAACAAGTCTTGATATTCACTTTCATATGCTTTGATCCATGCACCAAGACCGAGTATCACACATCCTGCGGCCTATGTATTAGATAGGACGTAAATGAATATTATACAGCATGTGCTTACATTTCACCCTCCAATTCGACAACCCTTAATGTTCCCGTGTGGTCCGGGGGCATGGGCCCCCGCGATATTTCTGTTTTCTAGACGCCCAAAAGTAACCTCTGAGTGAGACGTACAGGACACCTTTAAAAGTCTCGCTAATGACCTTTATTACAAAATCCACACAAGTGTTTTATATTTTAAAAAATGGCAACAATGAATATTCAAAATCAACAGAAATATTCATTTAGAATCTTCTTTTTATCCTTTTAAACAAGGATTTCTAAAGTTTCTAAATGTAGTGTCTAGTTTAAGCCATTCATCTTCAATATACCCTCCTATACTGTCTACAGACCAGTCTTAGCTGTGGTCTCTATTTAAACGTTTCTAATGTGAAATTTAACCTTTTTTTTATAAACAAATAAATCAAACACTGAGACCACCCCAGCACATCAGATCAAAAGTGATCTTGGACCGGACCTGGTATAAGTGAATTGCACTTACTAGGACTACTATTTAACTGCAAGCGCAACTTCAAATTATTAACTTAATAATCATAACAATAACGATATCCATTAGAAAGTAGTACATCGTACTTTTATCTAGTAATGAACATAATTATTAACATATAATTATTAAATCTTATTTTTGAAATGAAATGTGATAATTTAAAACTGTTTTATGGCAACCTAAACACTGAATTTCTGATTCTGATGAGGATAACGATGAGGATAATGATGTCAATGATAAGGTTGAAGTTAATAATAATAATGATGATGATGATGATGATGATGATGATGATAATAATGACGATAAAGACGATGACACCGACGGTGATGATGATGATAACGATGACAACGATAATGATAAAAAAAAAAAATACTTGGCATACCCAGAGTGTGAAATTGATTGCAAACATAAGCAGCTTCACAATCTTCATACCACATCCAGCAACCATGATGAAATGTTAACTTTGCGCAGTATTAAAATAAATATCTGAAAAGAGAATTATCAGAAAGCTTACTGAACATGTGAATTACTAAAAATCGTGTGTGTGTGTGGGGGGGGGGGCGGTACGGAGCGCGCGCGTGTGTGTAGGAGAACTGTAGGTGTGATAGTTAGGCTGTGTGTGCTCGGCGACTGAAAAACGATTTGTGAGTTACAGTGACGACTACGGTTATGGAAGGCAATTGCCACCAAAAGTACAACTCAGGTATCGTATATCACCATTTGGGGATCCAGGAATTCGAAATAGAGGGACCCGGAGAGAGACTTTTACAGATGGATGCTGTATACCACCTTGGACCGACATTGGTTTATATAGTGCCCATAGATGGCCAGAAATGACACTCTCGGATATAAATTTGAAATAGAAAACATCTTTATTATACTTTACTACTTCCCCCACCTCCTTTTATAAACATTTTCAACAGTTTAGAGTGGAGCAAGCCAGCTTGTTCCCTTCTTGATTTCGCCTATGTTTAAACACAACGTATAGCTACAAACGAAAACAAAAGCAAACAACGCACTTCCTCAAACGAACAACGGACTTTTCACAATTGAACTTTGTTCGTTGAGGTGCATGCACGTTTTATTTTGTGAAATACACATAGTTTCTTTCACTTATGTGCTTTTGGTGGCGATTGCTTTCCATTGATTAAGATAACACAGAAATAGAAGTGGAGGGTAGGCTGCGCTTAGGAACTATCAGTGGCGGATCCAGAGATTTTTTGACGTGGGCACAATACGAAGTTCACGCCGCCACGCCCACCTCCGCCCCACCAAGGTTGGTGTAAATAAGTGGTAAACAATAGAGCTCTCATTTCACCCACTGTTGGATCGCCACTGAACTCAAGAGTGCACTCCCTTTCCTCTATTTTAATCAAATTACCCTTTATCTAGATGTGTATAAGAGACAGCCTACTAGAACATCCTTACAATGAATTAAAGCGAGGGAAGACTATACCACTGCTGCTAAAACAAGAATAAACAATGTTTCAACAATCAGTTATAATCTAAACTATGTGCTGTCTCCGGGCGTCGGACTCTTTAAACAATGAACGAATGCGTGTCTAAAAATTTTAATTAGACCTAGGAATGACCACAAGATGTGTTCTCAAAAGTACTGTATGCAAATATAGACGCCCTTTTCCTAGTGACATGATTAAAAGATAAATTAATGTGTCACTATGCAAATATAGACGCCCTTTTCATAGTGACACATTAATTTATCTTTTAAAATATGACGCAAATTTTAAAGTAAATAGAACATTAATTTGAAAACCGTTATATTTTAAAGGACAATCAATAAATCTTGTGTATGACAGGCAGCGTAGTAAAATTATTACTTCTTACTTGCTAAATGTGGGATATGCCCATGGTCATAATGATGCCATATATTACACTCAAATATGGGTATGTCACATTTATGTGTCACATAAAATTGTATTGTGTGAATAGAGATTCAGAGTTTGTGTACAGTAATCTCGCCAGCTTCATTGACATCACCTTCAGGATTGTGGCGTGTCGTGTGTGTTCAGCAGGGCGTTTGTTTGTGAACAAACCGATACCGATATGAAAAGCAAACATGAATATCGAAACGACGTATAAGTCACATATTTGTAGTGACCCTGGTCATAAAAAATTAATATTTATTCTACAATTAACCCTACTAAAACAATTATTATAACACAAATCCCTATATAAATCAACAAACGATCTTATAATAATGTCTAAATAATTGTCATATAGATAGAAAACCACCATAAAAATTATGGTCTCCAATGGGCAGTTCACGGTACCAAACATACTCATAGATCGCCTATGCTTAACATAGAGAGATGACTGAATGAAAGCATTTGCGCTTTGCTTTATCTCACCACATCCCACTCAAAGAGATAAGCCCAGTCTCGTGGGCATAATGATGAACGCGTCTAATGTATAATACGATACTCGCGCCAAAGCCACCTTTGGCGGCCTTTTGCGGCTGGATGAATGTTGTGAACATGGAACAGTGAAATTTCACTGTTCCCTGGTTGTGAAAGATGCATACATTCCTCATTCCTCCCTTAATATTTCGAAATTATTTGATTTATATTTCGCGGGCTAACATTTTGCGGTCACTGTATTATATTCTAATAATATATTTATTATTATTATTATTATTATTATTATTATTATTATTATTATTATTATTATTATTATTATTATTATTATTATTTATATTCTATTATGTAGAGAAAATACACCTCTGTATCAGCAATAATGACTGAAGTGGCAACGACTATGTTTGTGTTAGCGTAATGTTGTTTTAAGATATTTATTGGCATAAAAATGCCCTTATTGGTAAGACACCACAAGGTATAATGCTACGATATATTCCTTTCAAATTTTTGCAGGTGCCTGGACGGTAAGTCGTAGCAAACTGTTTGTCCTTACTCAAATTTGTATACGATTACAATAATATCAATGGCCTAAAGCTGCATTCATATCGGATCCAAGCCGAAATCCGGACGGCGTTACCGAAACGCTGAACGCCAGCGTCCCTATTCTTACACACTGATTTTATTTTCATATTGATTCGGTAGGCCTTCCGATCTGAATATTTGGTTTTAACCCCTAGGTCTCTGCCTAAACTAGCAATCAGTTTGCGAGTTTCCATAAGCCTTGATCCAACGGCTGACGTTTAAAGTGAAGTGATTAGAGGGCTTGGTATGATGCGCTATCTCTCTGTTCTGTAAATGCAACAGCATACTGTACCGTAATATATTTGTAATAATGTTATGTGTAAGCCTGTCTTACCATTTTAACTAGGTTTACAACGAAAGAATGAAGTTTATTTGAAGAAGATGCATTAAATGTGACGGTAACGAATACTCAGATGCGTATGTTTTGAGTTTAGAAACCCTAGAATTTGTTCTAACGAATATTTTGACTACTCCTGCAGTCTTTCACGCTTGACATAAAATTTACATTCTGGGATAATTGAGTGATATAGGCCTATTAAGTGTAAAACAATAGTTAGTTCGAAAGCAAAGCCGGCATACTATATGGTTCAGTCACATAATAGTCCCGTTTTGCGCACCGGTTCCTTTCAGGCTCTGAACCTCATTGTCAGGTTCGAACTACACGCTGACCATTCTCGGCCAGCTATATGCTCAGTTACCCCAGCTTGCACTGCTGACGGATTATGAAGTGGCTTACACTATCGTATACTTCAGCCCTAGGTGCGAGTATTTCATGGCTTATAATTAAAATAGATATTGTGGCCGCATCTCGTCAATATTGGTGGTAATATCAGGCCTGATATAGGCCTACCAAAATGAATAAATTAAAAAAAAATATATATACAGGTATAGATGTGTATATATAACACAAAAGAAATGTTACAGATTGTCATATCTTTTGGTACACAACGAAGAGAACTATAAAATTTGGCGTCAGGCCCACAGTGGATGGGACTATGGTATAGTAAAATTATTAATCTGATGTAGAGGGCCTATATAAAGCCCAATTGTCTCGCTTGTGTCACTCCCCATAAATCATTTTAGTATTGATGAGGAGTAGCCATAATTATCAACTTCCCAAAAATAATTTAATAAAATTAACTCTTGATATAAATAACGGCGCACAAAACAAACGTTTTTGAAACATTACCAAAGCACATTGCCCTGAATCAACAATAAATTAAATGTCCTGAATAGAATACGGTATCACTGCGATTTCAGTTTGCCTATATTATATAAATATATATAAAAATAAAGCAATATTATTGATACACGATGAAAAAATTACAACAAAATCAACTTACGGTATAAAATAACAGTAAACAGTTATTGTAAACAGTAGAGGTTTGTCTTGAAGTAACAGCTTATTACAGTTTGGAAGGGTAAGTGAGATTACGTCGAGCTTTGAACCTTTTGCACTACACGCCCTGTGTACGCAACTTACAGAGCGCCTATATCAATAATTCACTAATGTCTGTTGGAGTGGCAGCGTCCAATTGGAACGCTCTCTTTCATTGACTTACATACTGTCATTTTGAGCATAAAGTGGGTTTTACACTTCTGTTATACAAAAAAAAAGATACGATCTATGACCTCAATAATCTAACAAATTGACAGAACGTGTACACCAGTGTTGACAATGACTGAATGAATCATGGTCAAATTACACTTTTAAAAATCCTACTCTACTTAGTATATATGCCTAATATATGTAATAAGTAATAAAAATAAACGAGCGTTACAATTTCACCATGATAGATTAATTAATACATACCTAAACCATATTGACCCCACAAACAATATAAAATTTACATGTGAACATCTGAGCAACAGTTCCATTCCGTTCCTAGACACCCTTATCACAAGAGAAGTCGATGGTCGCCTCACTACAGTCCACAGAAAGGCTACCCATACCAATCAGTGTCTGCATTTTACATCACACCACCCACTCCACAGAAAATTGCTGTCTCTTATACACATCTAGATGTGTATAAGAGACAGATATATATACATATAATATAGGCCTATATATATATATATATATATATCTATCTACATGTATATATTTAAGGTTTTTGCTGTGCAGCATTTTAAACACAATATAAAGAAACAGATAAATGCTCGAATAGGAACATTCGATGCCATAATCGTATCAGGCGTACCCTTCAAGTTCAAAGTTTACCTTTTCATTTTATGAAATGAAACAAAAAGTATATCTGGTGAGATTCGAACCTGCAACCTTTCGATATTAAGGTACCATACCTTAAAACCACAGATCCAGCCTCCAGACACTCTCCTTCATACAACCATGGATGTATTATTACGTCCATGATACAATTTACTGAAAATCTCACACACAGTGGAGCGATGGTTGCCATCAGAAATATTCTTACCATCCGTTTCAACGAAGCCTACATACAAATAATCACCGCCGTGCTGTTAACCATCATTGTAACATAATGATAACATAGTTACCAACTGATGTTGATAGCAGTATACCACGTTAAGGTAGCATCTCAGACTAGAATAATAAGGTAAAACTTTATAGCGATAATAATTATAATTATTATACACAAATATTAGGTAGTTTAATTTTTACAATGATATATATTATAATTGCAATAAGTATTATTGGTGATATATGTATTATTATGAATGCTATCGCTATTTATTAGTCCTAATATAATTTGTTTAATACTTATCAATTAAATTACCACAATCGTATTGCACTTAATTGTCAGTATTACTTTTTGCTATATATCATATCACGATATTTGCAGAATCTTTAACAAGATGAAGGCGACAGGATCATATCATACATCATTTATTTTTGTCGATGAAATACATTTACAATACAATGACTAACATGAATAGAATATTTAAAAAAACAAGCACATAATAAAAGAAAAGTAAAACAATTTATTCAAACCCGACTGTATCGTTAAAATGTAAATTCAAGTCTGCTGTCAGGGAACACTTTGTATTTCATCTGACTTATAAAATTCATCAATCATGCATATTTTAAAATTTGAAGTTTTTTTCAAAATTAAATGCTTAAAATTTCATCATAAAAACATAGTTAAATTGTAAATGTATAATTTAAAAAAAACTGAACAAAATATAAAGAACTCTCAAGACAAGATATGCAATACCTTATAAATGCATTGATTGATTGATACCTACTTACTTACCTACCTACCTACCTATCAGTCGGCATTATGAATCATGTCCACTTTTTTGCGATCTCTTGCAGCTACGTCTGCCTCTTCAACAGTCCATCCAAGGAGTATTGTTTATGTCTGACCTAATGACGTCCTTCCATGTTGGGTGAGGCCTTCCAGGTATTGGAACGCCATGCAAATAAGTAATATGGAACGCCATTTGTGCCAAAATCGATTTATTCCTAAGCATTTCAACTGATTAAGACAAAGATTAGGGACTGGAACCCAGTCTAGGTTACCATCTGTAGAGTGTGATTGTCCATCCGCTGTATGTGTCAAAACCATTGAAGGTGACACTTATAATTTTGGTGAGCTGACAGTAGCTGAATGATTTTTTGGCTATGTCGACGTTTTTTATACATGGTGTTACCAGTGGTAAGATAATGTTCTATGATTTACTAAGCATGCTGCAGGGACTTTTTTTTTTTTTTAGTTCAGGTACAGGTGTTGATAGAAGTTTCATACAATTCTTCATAACATATTTAGAAACAACCAAAATGAAATGAGACATAGTCAGGAGCAACTAAAGCAAAGTTTTTTTAGTAACTCATTAAGAAACCGAAACCCGACTGTGCTTGATGAAAATCGACCGCGTTTGTTAACGGACTGTGCATGAAAAACGTGTGTGCTTGAATATCTACTAATATAATTTATAAAAAATTGATATAGCACACTACAAAACTCAAGTTTCACAGCGCCTTTTCACATTATTACCCAAGTCATTTGAACGATGCCTATGGGGGAAATTCCATAGTTTGCCGCATAAAATATAAATTAGCGCATTTTGCACTCGAACCTCCTCAGGTACCCATTTATACTCCTGGGTAGACATAAACAAACGCAGATAAAGTGTATTGTCCAAGGACACAAATTACTTGCACAGCAGAGTTTCGAACCCCCGACCACAAGGTTGAGAGTCCAAGCCTCAGCCGCTGCGGCAAATGCTTCTACACTGTGTTTGAAAGTTGTTTTTTTAGCGTTCCATATAAAACCACAACGTAAACAGTGCCATGTGGTCGGAACAGCTAAACATGCAGTGGAAAATGAAGTCGATAATTTTTTCCCACATAAGTTGAGATATGGAATTATATTTACTTCGTGAGATCGAGACTTCTATGACCTAGGCCTATGTATTATCAAATAATTTCATCTGCTTTTGTGATTAATAATCCAATTACTTGTTTTTATTTCTAATATACCATTTTTAAACCCGACTGTGCTTGACGAAAATCGACCGTGTTTGTTAACGAACTGTGCATGAAAACCGTGTGTGCTTGAAAATCTACTAATATAATAAAAAATTTGACGTCGTTTCCCTATTCACTAAAACCACAGTAGATAAATCACTGGAAATACGAAAAACAACGGTTGCTCACTGACAAAGAACTGAATTCCAGGACGTATCTTACAGTAGATGATATATTGGAGTTACTAACATTCGTGCTCTCCACTACATATTTCTCTTTCAGCAATGATATATATAGCCAATGTTTTGGTATTGCCATGGGTTCGCCAGTCTCTCCTCTGATAGCATTTTTTTTTTATGGAATGGTTAGAGAATGAAGTTAACACCAAAGTTGGACCAGACACAAAACCGATATTCTGGAAGAGATACGTGGATGACGTACTAGCGATCATTCCAGAGGGAATATCTACTGAACTTAATACATACCTAAACCATATTGACCCCACAAACAATATAAAATTTACATGTGAACATCTGAGCAACAGTTCCATTCCGTTCCTAGACACCCTTATCACAAGAGAAGTCGATGGTCGCCTCACTACAGTCCACAGAAAGGCTACCCATACCAATCAGTGTCTGCATTTTACATCACACCACCCACTCCACAGAAAATTGAGTGTTCCCCGTACCCTTATCCATAGATGTTACACCATCGTATCGAACACCAGAAATCATTAAAAAAAAAAGAATTACAAAACATCAAAGAAGCACTAAATAACTCTGGATACCCGGACTGGACTATAACTAAAATAAAACAGCAACAAGAAAAAAGGAAACTACAAAAGGAGATAACCAAACAAACCAAAACTAGTAGAAATAAGGGTAACATTGAACTCCCTTACATACAAGGAATATGGGAAAAAAATCAAGGCATCCCTTTATACACACAAAATTGGCTCGTACTACAAACCAGTTAACAAGCTCAGAGAAATCCTAGTCCATCCAAGACAAAGAAAGAAGATACATGTGGAATAATTTATCAGATCGGATATCTAAACTGTGACTACGTCTACATAGGCGAAACCGGCAGACCTTTCAAGAAAAGGCTGGAAGAACACAAAAAAGATGTCCCTAACAATACCAAAAGCATACGTACAAGATCAGCACGAACTTCCTCATCCAACTTCGAATCTCTTCATAAATCAGCAGTTACAGATCACATGGTTCAGTTTGATCACACACCAGATTGGGATAACGCCAAAATCATCAAAAGAGAAGATTCATGGGACAAAAGGATCATCAGGGAAGCAATTGCCATAAGAAAACATCAAACAACTATGAACAGGGACGAAGGGGGATACAGACTCTCTCACGATTATATGACCAAATTCTACAACCTGAGAGGCCGGGGGCCCACGGATCCGACAGGACCAGAGCTGAAGATAGTAGGCGTCACACCCGTGACGTTTCAATAGCAACAAAACGTCCAGCTCATTCAGCACGACGAAGACTTGATGAAAACAAGACGAAAGCTAGCGTACGTAAGTACATCAATAAAAAAAAATGGTTTATTAGAAATAAAAACAAGTAATTGGATTATTAGGCCTATGTTAGTTTTCAACCAGGAGGTTTTGAACCCCAGACGTTGAGGCTGACGGATCAGTGAATACTATGTTGCACAGTCTATGTTTGATTAAAGTATGAATGCAGGTAATTGGTGTTTGGCGATATTTTGTATAGTCAGCCTCAACAATTTGTTAGTTTGAAGTTATGGGCCCGGTTTTCACACAATAGTAATAGCATTGGGTTACGTAATTTGGCTGTGGAACTAGAGTATTATTAAGAAAAGATACTATGGCTAGTAAATATGAAGTTACTTTTCTGACATATATTATGGGTCTGAGGTATGAATTTAGATCTTTTCCTGCAGTGGTTCGAATTGAATGCGCGTCTTCGTAATTTTGCAGATAAGAAGCATCTTAAAAATTGGGGTAATGCAGCTAAAAAAACTTCTTGGTTTGACGTATGTAACAAAGAGGAAAAGAAATA